GTTATGTAGTCAATATCACTTGCTTTATATTTGTGGAAAGACATCTATCTATATAATTATTGTGCATTATGTAGTCATTACGCCTATAGTAGAAAACTTTCCGTTTACAGAAAAACTAGAGCCAATTGACAAATTTCATTGTTATATTTAAACTCAGAATGTGAAATTCATTAAGAAATGGATCCTTTTGTTTCCAAAACTGGCAAAAAATAAAAATTTGTTGAACAGTTGCCCATCATTGTTGCATATCAGTGTCAGCTCATCAGTGCCCATCATTGTTGCATATCAGTGCCAGCTCATCAGTGCCACTTATCAGTGCCTGTCAGTGCTGCCTATCAGTGCAGCCTCATCAACGCACATCAGTGAAGGAGAAAAATGACCTGTTTGCAAAATTTTATAATAGAAACAAGGACATTTTTTTTTCAAAATTTCTGCTCTTTTTTTTGTTTATAGCGCAAAAAATAAAACACCCAGCGGTGTGTACATACCACCAAAAAAAACTCTATTTGTGTGAAAACAAATTTATAAAAATTTAATTTGGGTACAGTGTTGCATGACCACGCAATTGTCACTCCAAGTGTGACAGCGCTGAAAGCTAAAAATTGGCCTGGGCAGGAAGGGGGTATAATGCCTGGTAGGCAAGTGGTTGCCTACTGGGCACTTTCACTCCCTTCCTGCCCGGGCCAATTTGTAACTTTCAGTGCTGTTGCACTTTGAATGACAATTGCGTGGTCATGCAACACTGTACCCATATTAAATTTGTATCATTTTTTCACACAAATAGAATTTGCTTTTGGTGGTATTTAATTTTCACTGGGTGTTTTATTTTTTGCACTATAAATGAAAAAATGAATATTGAAAAAAAAATGTTTTTCTTTGTTTCTATTATAAAATTTTGCAAACAGGTAATTTTTCTCCTTCACTGATGTGTGTTGATGAGGCTGCATTGATAGGCACCGATAGGCATTGATGAGAAGGCTGCACTGATATGTGGCACTGATGGGCAAAACTTCTGGGTACTAATAGGACACACTGTTGGGCACAGATTGGCACTTTTGGGGCTGCACTGATCAGTGCCCTGATTATCAGTGTAGATTTCTGCTTTCACAGTTGCTGGTTATTGGCAGTACTTTCCTCACGCTGTGACAGCGTGAGGAAAGTACTGCTGATAATCGGCAAGTGTATTTACATGGTGATCAGCTGTGATTGGACACCACCTGATCAAGGGGTAAAAGGCCCCTGTGATTGGCCCTTTATGGAGTCATATGATTAGTTGTGTCCCAAGGACACAGCGTTGGGGGGCGCGTGCTGGGAGGATGTCATATGATGCCCTCCCAGAACTGGACAACCACGCTGTAGCCGTCATTTGGCTATAGTGCGGTCAAGAAGAGGTTAAGGCCTCATATACACAAGTATAAGGGCCAGTTCACACCACAAAAACACACTCCGGATGCATTCAGGATATGTTTTTGCTTACAGTTCACACCACACGCAGTTCTGGTGCAGTTTGCTATGTTCCAGTATGGTTCTGTGCAGAAAAAAATGCAGCATGTTCTACTTTTTTTCTGCACCGGAAACTGACTGGAACTGACTGCACTAGTGTGAACTAGGGCCATTGGAATACATGGAAAAAATAAAAATGAAAAAAAAAATGTTTAAAAATTATAATTTTTGCTTATAAACTAATTTGGATTTTTTTTTTTTTACTAAAAAGATAACGGAATAAATTTTGGCTAAGATTTATGATGAAATATTATTTATTTGCAAAATTTTATAAAAAAAAACACTTTTTTTCAAAATTTTTGGACATTTCATTTACGTAGCAAAAAAAACACAAATCCCAGTGGTGAATAAATACCACCAAAATAAAGCTTTATCTATCTCAAAAAAATGGTAAAAAATTTATTTGGGTACAGTGTTGCATGACCGCGCAATTGTCATTCAAAGTGTGATAGCGCTAAAAGCTGAAAATTGCCCTGGTCAGGAAGGGGGTAAAAGTGTCTGGTCTGGAAGTGGTTAACGAGCTTTAGTATGGGCATTACACGGGCGTTAATGAGCTTTAGTATGGGCATTAGACGGGTGTTTATGAGCTTTAGTATGGGCATTACACGGGCGTTAATGAGCTTTAGTATGGGCATTAGACGAGTGTTTATGAGCTTTAGTATGGGCATTACAGGGGCGTTAATGAGCTTTAGTATGGGCATTAGACAAGTGTTAATGAGCTTTAGTATGGGCATTACACGGGCGTTATTGAGCTTTAGCATGGGCATTACATGGGCGTTATTGAGCTTTAGCATGGGCATTACATGGGCGTTATTGAGCTTTAGCATGGGCATTACACGGGCGTTATTGAGCTTTAGTATGGGCATTACATGGGTGTTATTGAGCTTTAGCATGGGCATTACATGGGCGTTATTGAGCTTTAGTATGGGCATTACATGGGCGTTATTGAGCTTTAGCATGGGCATTACATGGGCGTTATTGAGCTTTAGTATGGGCATTAGACGAGTGTTTATGAGCTTTAGTATGGGCATTACAGGGGCGTTAATGAGCTTTAGTATGGGCATTAGACAAGTGTTAATGAGCTTTAGTATGGGCATTACACGGGCGTTTATGAGCTTTAGCATGGGCATTACACATGGGCGTTTATGAGCTTTAGCATGGGCATTACATGGGCGTTATTGAGCTTTAGCATGGGCATTACACGGGCGTTATTGAGCTTTAGTATGGGCATTACATGGGTGTTATTGAGCTTTAGCATGGGCATTACATGGGCGTTATTGAGCTTTAGTATGGGCATTACATGGGCGTTATTGAGCTTTAGCATGGGCATTACACGGGCGTTATTGAGCTTTAGTATGGGCATTACATGGGTGTTATTGAGCTTTAGCATGGGCATTACATGGGCGTTATTGAGCTTTAGTATGGGCATTACATGGGCGTTATTGAGCTTTAGCATGGGCATTACATGGGCGTTATTGAGCTTTAGTATGGGCATTAGACAAGTGTTAATGAGCTTTAGTCCTTATGCACACTGGATGTTTTTACAGCGACTGTTTTTGTCTTTTGACCTTTTTTTCTACAGCTAGTTAACCCCCCAGCATGTTATCCTATGTGTCCATGTACACATAGACTGTAATCAGCATTTTCTGGCTGAAAAAAAAAAAAAAAAAAAACAGGACTAGTGGGTTTCTAGCTGTAAAAACACTCTAACGTCCTATGTGCAGTTATGAAGCATTTTTACAAGCATTTGACAAGCGTTAAAACCACACCACCATCTAAATAAACTGTAAAGTTTTCAACGCTCCACAACTGCACTGCAAATGCCTTGCAAACACCTGCCAGTGCGTTTGAGGAGCGTCACCATAGACTTGACTGAGAGCCAATGAAAGGCTTCAAATGCCTCTTGACTGGACACTAGGCTTCTATTTTGGAGCAATGCGACGCTAATGCTTCATGTTTTCATATAATGCACAGCCCTGTGTGCTGCCCATAGTGTCATTTGCATAGGTGTTTGAGGAGCGTTACAAATGTCTGCTTTTACAGCCAGTGTGAACTAGGTCTTAATATTTTATTTATTCCTCAAAGCGTTTGTGCATCAGATCTGCAACCTCCCACTCCAAATGTACGTTTCTGGAAAACCAAACCTTCCTCACTGTGTGTGAAATGCAGAATGTCTAATTCCTCAGAACCCCAGAGAGATGTTCCCAGATGTCAGTACCAGAATAGAGCCCTTGTTGTACTTACTTCCTCCACACACACACCTCCCTCTAATCTACATCGGATTACTGCTGTGCTGGTGTATACGAGGCCACAGCCTAGGCTCCATTACATGCATGACTCACACAATTCACTGCAATACGAATGAAGGCACGAAACTATAACATCCCACAGACACACCACAACTAGGAACTGCATTGGCCAACAAACCCCGCCCCCAGGCTCTCAGCCTGTCCTATGACCAGCACGTGTTTCCTGTGGGGCGTGTAATGCAAGTTTGTTCCGTGAGTGACGAAGTTGGGGTGGGCGTGGCCGGGTGGTAGCTGAGTGTCATGTGACTTGGCTGGAGAGCTGTAGCTGCGCTTGGTGTGAAGTAGTAGGTTCAGTCGTAGTGCACCATGGAGTTCTTGTTGGGAAATCCTTTTACCACACCGGTGGGTCAGCGCATTGGTGAGTCCGCCGTACTAGAGACTATTCAGTACAATCCTTCCTTTCCAGCCATTTGGCTGTTCCACTTCAGGCAATGGGAAGTTGCTCAAACCTGAATGCTGAACCTATTGCTGAACGCTGTGGCCTATAGAAGTTGAGCTGGTTGTGGGTCTGACCAATAGGCGCGCGACTTGCTTTGCAGACGTTGTAAGTTGGCCAATGGGGGGAGAGATGTCTTGAAGTGGGTGGTATAGGAGTTCAGTCAGCGTCTCCTCCCTCGTTGTAAATAAATAGCTGGAAAGGTGTTTGGTGAGGCAGTGATGACACTGTGTGCTAATAACGTGCACCTGACGATGCTGCAACTTCCTAATTGAAGAGGAAACATACAAATCTCATCTGTATGATCCTTCCTCACCTGGATGTTGTTACTTAGTTCATTGCACAGTCCATACCTTCCCTGTGCCAGGCTGTAGGGTGTTATTACTTTGTTTTGAAAGAATTGGATAAAGTGGACATACACTTGCCCTCCAGAGGATTTACCTCCCTTCCTGACCAGGCCATTTGTTGCATTATAGTGCTGCATTGCTTTAACTGACAACTGCGCGGTCATGCAACGCTGCACCCAAAGGAAATCTGCATCCTTTTTTTTTTTCTCCCCCATGAATAGAGCTTTCTTTTGGTGGTATTGATCGCCTGTGCGTTTTTAACATTTTGTGCTATACAAAAAAAAAAGAAGAAAAAAAACCAACAATTTTGAGAGACAATATTTTTGACTTTACTATTAACCACCTCCCGTCCAGCCGTTGTATATAAACGACCGGACAGTGGCAGTGCAGGGTCGGGTGGCTGTTTATAAACGGCCTCCCCGCACCCTGCTTGTGTGCGCTCCCCGGGAGCGAGCAGCACCTCGATCCGGAGCCCGCTGTGTCCTCCTGGACAGAGTGAAACACCGATTGTCTGATGGGACCTCTGTACGAGGTCCCGATCATGTGATCACAAGCAAAGTAGTAAGCAAGATGTCACTTCTGACATAATTGCTTACGACGTGTGAAATCTGTGAATGATCACAGAGGTCAGATGGTACAAGGCTATTCACAACAGCCTTATACCATGTGACAAGCTGTGACCAATCACAGCTCACTCAGTAGTTCTCAATGGCTGCAAGAATGCAGACAGAGAGAAATTATTGATTTTACATCTTTATGGGTGTAAAAGCAATCAGTGTAAAAAAAAAATCTTCATCACCCCCCACAAGTAGTACAGTGTCACCATGCTAGGGTGATAGAATGTAAAAAAAAAAATAAAAATGTAAAAAAAAATGTTTTTAAAAATTATAATTTTTGGTTATAAACTAATTTGGCTTATTTTTTTTTTTTTTTACTAAAAAGATAACGCAACACATTTTGGCCAGGATTTATGATGAAATATTATTTATTTGCAAAATTTTATAAGAAAAACTTTTTTTTTTTTTAATTTTTGGACATTTTCATTTACATAGCAAAAAAAAATAAAAATCCCACCAGCGAATAAATACCACCAAAATAAAGTTTTATCTGTCTTAAAAAAATGGTAAAAAAAATTTATATGGGTACAGTGTTGCATGACTGCGCAATTGTCATTCAAAGTGTGATAACACTGAGAGCTGAAAATTGCCCTGGGCAGGAAGGGGGTAAAAGTGTCCAGACAGGAAGTGGTTAAACATATCCAGTAAAAAAAAAAAATGTAAAAATCAAATTTTGTCATAAATCTAGGCAAAAATGTATTCTGCAACATGTCTTTGCTAAAAAAAAAAAAAAAATGTGTAAATTAAAAAGTTATAGCGTTTACAAATGGTGTATATATACAAGAATTTTTTATTTTTTGTTTGCACTAGTGTCGGCGATCAGCGACTGCGGTAGGCATTCTAACATTGGGGGGGGGGGGGGGGGGGGGGGGGGGGGGGGAACTGACTTGGTGTCACTGACATCCCCAGTGACACCAATACAGTGATTAGTGCTAATAAAATGACACTGTACTAATGGCACTGGGCAGGAAGGGGTTAACATGGGGCGATCAAAGGGTTAACTGTATGTGTGCGCTTCACAGTAAGCGCGCTGCTTTGCATGGCTCTGATATGCAAAGCCATGCATAGCAGTGTGCAGGAGCTAATGGGAGAGAACTGTATTGCTTACTTACAGGTCTCTCCCTCCATCGGTAATGCTCATCAATCACCGAGTGCCAACAGGTAATCACCGGCTTTGACGTACCAGAAATACAAAATCATGTGTATATATACGTGATTTTGTGCACCCATGCTGCTCTGCTCTGTAGCAGTATTTCTGCTATAGGGCGAACGGGAAGCAGTTAATATCTGCTTGTTCACTATTAGTAATTTTATAGATTAAATTTATCAGAGTTAAAGTGGAACTAACTAAGTGAGCAGCACAGTAGCTAAATGGTTAGCACTTCCGCCTGGCAGTACTAGGGTCGTGGGTTCCTGCCTGGAGTTTGCATGTTCTCCCTGTGCTTGCGTGGGTTTCCTCCGGGTACTCCGGTTTCTTCCCATACTCCAAAGACATGCTGGTAGGTTAATTGGATCCTGTCTAAATTGGCCCTAATATGTGTATTAATGTAAGTTAGGGACCTTAGATTGTACACCCCTTGAGAGTTAGGGACTGATGTGAATGTACAATATATCTACTGTATGTGTAAAGCGCTGCGTAAATTGACAGCGCTATATAAGCACCTGAAATAAATAAACTAACCATCCACTCCTTTACTGCCAAGGAAGCGGCCATCTTTGCCTCTGTCTGCTCTGAAGTAGCCATTATTATTATTATACAGGATGTAGATAGCGCCAACAGTTAATGCAGCACTTTACAACATTAAGGCAGACAGTACAATTACAATACAAATGATTACAAGAGGATTCAGAAGGCCGGCTCGTTAGAGCTTATAATCTAAGAGGGAGGGTTGAGAGATACAAAAGATAACTGTGGGGGATGGGCTGATGGTCAAAATACATGTATAGTTGTTAGGTGGGGGCAGGATATGCCTCTCTGAAGAGATGAGTTTTCAGGGATCTAGGTTCACACCTATGCAGTTTGCATTTGACCCGTTTCTGCATTGCATTTTTGCACCTGCATTTTTTTTGTGTTTTTGCCACTTTTTTTTTTTAATTTTTGCTAGGCAGATTCAAAACACATGAACATGCATTACATGCTTTTCTTCAGTGTTTCCATTGAAGTCTATAGAACCAAAAACGCAACTTTAAAAAATGTTAAAAAAAGTCCCTGATCCTTTCCAAAAAAGCACTGGGTGAAAACGTGGTGATTTGAACGTGTCCCATAAGAAATCATGTTAAATGAACTGTAGGGCATTTCTCCAAAATGCTGTGGAAAACGCTTAGGTGTAAAACTAGGGTAAATTTGATGGCTTGACAGTTTGGCTGAGTGCTAACAAACGCACTAGTAACTGACAAGACATGCCTTGAGGACTCGTTCACACCATACCTGCAGAAAAACTGATGGAAACTGATGCACAGATTTCACTTGCAGAGACATTAGTTTACATCAGTTTTCATGCATGCTTTAATGAGTTTTATACATGTTGCAGATTCCTGCGCAGAAAAAAAATCTGCATGTGATATTAGTGTTGTGGTGTGAACAGGGCACATAGAGAACAACTGATTTTGTTGTGCCCTTGTAGAATGCGTGTAGAAAAACAGATGTCTCTGCACCATGGTGTGAATGAGCCCTGAATGTAATTGTTTTGTAAACCATTAAAGGGGAATTAAACCATCAATTTAAGGCCTTGTTCACGCCATACATGTAGAAAAAACCGATGGACGCTGACACACAGATTTCACTTGCAGAGACATCAGTTTACATCCGTTTTCAATCATGCTCCTATGAGTTTTATTCACATTGCAGATTCCTGTGCAGAATATCTGCATGTGATACTAATGTTATGATGTGAACAGGGCACATGGAGAACAATTGATTTTGTTGTGACCTTGCAGAACGCATGCAGAAAAACTGACGCCCCTGCACCATGATGTGAACAAGCCCTAACAGTTTAAAAAAATAGTTTAATTCCAGGCATGCCGGGAATGTGAACTGTCACATTTGCTTGTGCTCTCAACCAAACTGTCAAACCATCAAATGGCTGGAGTCATAACTGATCACATGTACAGCACCATGTCAGTTGCAGGTCAAAAGACAGGAAGGTTTAGTTCCGCTTTAAAGTGGAACTTTAGTCAGAAAATTAAGTCCTGCTAGATCACTTCATGCTGGCCGCTTTTACAGGTATAGCTATGAAAAACATTAAAAATAAGTGCCTTCACTGTTTAAATTCCAGGAATACACTGTCTCACCCTGCTCTGCTCTATTCAGTTGCTCTTTATTTTTTGGCACAGTGCTGAAAATCAGAGCCACTAGAGGCTGATCTGGCAGCTTAAAGAATTATTGCTGCTTGGGGGCTCTGGGCTTCAGCAAAATGGCAGCCTTCAGCAAGAAGAAACAGGAGCAATGCTGAAGGCAATTTACAGCACACAGGGATTTTGGTTGGATATGAGAACATTTCTTTTCTATCAAGTTGTTTGGGTAAAGTTCCACTTTAAAGCAGAATTAAACCATCAATTTAACAGTTTCAGAGAACAGTTGCTGGGAATGCTTGCTGTCACATTTGCTTGTGCTCTCATCCAAACTGTCAAATCATCAAATAGCTGGAGTCATAACTGATCACACGTGCAGCATCATGGCAGTTGAGGATCAAACAGAGAGATGGCAGCTTCCTTGGCTAAAAAAAGATAGAAGGGTTTAGTTCTTTAACCGCCTCCCGCCTGCCATATAAGGAAATGGCGGTCGGCGGTTCTCTCATTCTGGGAGGACATCATATGACATCCTCCCACTTCAACTGTGCGTTGATCTCTCTTCAAGTTGACAGCGCGAGAGGAGAGCTGGTAATCGGCATTCCTCAGAGGAGCCATCTACACTGATCCTCAGGGCATTGATCAGTGCCCTGATGATCAGTGTAGCCCCATCAGTGCTACCTGTAATTGCCCATCAGTGCCACATAACAGTACCCATCAGTGCACATCAATGCCACATACCAGTGTCTACCAGTGCACATCAATGCCACATATCAGAGCTGCCTTTCAGTGCTGCCTATCAGTGCTGGCAGTCAGTGCTGCCTAACAGTTCCAATCAGTGCCATATGAGTGCTGCCTTTCAGTGCCATCCAGTGATACCTGTCAATTGCCATCAGTGCCACCTATCAGTGCCCATCACCGCAGCCTCATTAGTGCACATCAGTGAAGGAGAACAATTACTTATTTTCAAAATTTTATAACAGAAACTAAGGAAAAACTTTTTATTTTTCAAAATTTTCAATCTTTTTTTGTTTGTTTAGCAAAAAATAAAATCCCAGTGGTGATTAAATACCACCAAAAGAAAGCTCTATATGTCTCAAAAACAATTATATAAATTTAGTTTGGGTACAGTGTTGTATGACTGCGCAATTATCATTCAAAATGCAAGAACACTGAAAGCTGAAAATTGGCCTGGGCAGGAAGGGGGTAAAGCAGACCTAAACCACCCATTTAACTGTTTCCCCAAAAAAGTCACATTTCTAGGCATGCCATGGATAACTGTGACAAGTGCATGTGCTCTTCACCGAACTGTCAAGCCTTGAAATGGCTAGTGTCATTTCTGATCACATGTGCAGCATCACAGTAGCTGCAAAACAAACAGGAGCTAAGATAGCAACTTCCTTTGTGGTAAAAGAGAGAAGGGTTTAGTTCTGATTTAACTCCCAAAAGAGAGTTTGGGTTTAACACTCCCTCTCCCAAACAGAATTTCTGGAATTAATTTTTTTTTTTTTTGCTTCCACCTTTCCAGCCTAGGCCAGAATGACATGTACCTGTTCTGCAGCCTCCTGGGATATTTAAAGCACATCTGCCAGGATGCTTCATGATCAGCACACAGAGTGACTGGTGGGCGGACCTGGTGTGTCATCCAGAAAAGGCAGCCAGCTAAAGAGTACCAAGATGGTAGTGTGGGCTCTGCTGTATGGCACCCAATCAGTATATCATAGGAGGACAACACTGGATTTGCTGTGCAGAGTGATGGTGAATTGCTTTTCAGAGAGCTCAACTGTTTGCCCCCCACCACCAAATTAAAGTGTAAAGAAGGCAGCTATGATGCCAGCCAATTGATCGTTTGACAGTTCTGTTGAGAGCACAGGCAACTGTGACATTTATCATTTACAGCGTGTCATGAATATAACTGTTTTGGGAAAAAGTTAAATCGGTGGGTTTAGTTCCTCTTCAAGGGCTGGTTCATACTTCCTACACATTAAACCACAATGTTTGACCATGCAAGAAGTGTCACTTCTGGCTGGCGGTGGAATGCACTTTTAAAGGGTTGGTTCACCTTTACCAAAAAACTCCATGTGCAGGTAAGGGACGTCTTTATATAAAAACAAACTGTGCAGCTCCAACCAAAGTTGAATAATATCCTTGCTATTGATATAGATCATTTACGCAGCTCTTGAAAACCCTTCTGAGAAATTCCCAGAGATAGTACTTCGGGCCAGCCTTGTTGCTAGGACGTGGCTAAGACCCTCCTACGCGATTCAACCACCCTTTGCGTGCACGCTCTCTCCAGTGTTGCAGTAGCTCTAAGCTCAGCAAAGCTGCAACTGTGGAGATGGTGGACCACACGTGTGTTTTGAGAGCTCGCTCATGTGATGGTGATGTAGCAGTAATGACTGGAAATGTCTTAGCAATTTCCTAGCAACATGGGAGTGTAGGATGATGCCATCTATGGGAGTATTCCAGCCAGGCTTCGGGATGTTTGTAAATGGCCTACACCTATAGCAAGCACATTCTCCAACTTTAGTCAGAGCTGCACAGTTTTATCCGCAGACGCCCCTTATCTGCATAAGCATTTTTTTGGTGACAATGAACTAATCCTTTAATTGCTTCCCCTCCGCACTATAGCAGAAGTACTGCTACAGGGCAGCAGGGTTATGAAAAATCATGTATATATACTTTGCATTTCCGGGTAGGGAGCATGTGCGCGCACCGCCTTACCCGTGCTTCCTTTGGCGGTTACAGATGTCAATCACAGAGTCCCGCCGGAGATTCCCCGCTGGCGATCACCGAGTAGCACTGACAGGGCAGAGACCTGTGTGTAAACAACACAAGTCTCTCTCCTGTCATCAGTAACATGCTGCTCTATTTTTCTGCACAGCAGAGAAATACAAAGCAGCATGTTTCCCTAGTAAAATGTACACAGTTAACCCTTTGATCGCCCTAGATGTTAACCCCTTCCTGCCCAGTGTCTTTAGTACAGTGTCCGTGCTTTTTATTAGCACTGATCACTGTATTAGTGTCATTGGGATGTCGGTGGCAGTTAGTCGGTTATTACCCAGTGTCAGAATGCCAGCCGCAGTCCTGCAAAAAGTCGCTGATCGCCACCATTACTAGTATGAAAAAAATTTAAATTCCAGTATATATACCGCCATTTGTAGACTCTATTAAACCAATTTATTTACACGTATTGGGATTTTCTTTTAGAAAAGACATGTAGCAGAATACATTTTGGCTTAAATTTATGATGAAATTAGATTTAAAAAAAAAAAGTTTCCTTGATATGTTTTATAGCAAAAAGTCAAAAATATTGTTTTTTTGTTCAAAATTCAGTCTTTTTTTGTCTATAGCGCAAAAAAAAAAAACCTGCACAGGTGATCAAATACCACTGAAAGAAAGCTCTATTTGTGGGGAAAAAACAACATAAATGTCATTTATGTACAGCGTTGTATGACCGCACAATTGTCAGTTAAATTAATGCAGCGCTGTACTGCAAAAAAATGGCCTGGTCAGGAAGGTAAGGTGGTGGGGGTAAAACCTCTGGAGGGCAAGTGGTTAAAGCTCACAGCACTGTGGGGTTTTTTTTTTTCTTTCCTTCAGGTCAGCTGTGGTGTGCAAGAAATACATGGAGAAAAAGAGCTGTGCAGTTGCAGCAGGACAAAAAAAAAAAAAAATTCTGCACCACACCACAGCTCACCTGAAGATGTTGCAAGTGTTAAGAACAAGACAATTGTTTCTGTGTGTCCTTCTGGAAACCTGTGGGGTTTTTTTTTTTTTTTTCTTCAGAGATGTGAACAAACCCTAAGTCCTCATGTACACTGGACATTTTTACAGCTGCTGTTTTTGGCTTTTGACATTTTTTTCTACAACCAGTAAACTCCCCAGCACGTTATCCTATCTGTCCATGCACACACAGACTGTAATCAACGTTTTTTTTTTGGCTGGGAAGTTTTTTTTTGGTTGGAAAAAAAAAAACAGAACTAGTGGGTTTCTAGAGGAGTTTTTCAGCTGTAAAAATGCTCTAATGCTGAAAAACGCGGTAAATCGTGGCAAACCAGCGTTTGGACATTTTTTGACTAAAAAAATTTTTTTTGTGGTAAAAACATAAACGCTAAAAAATGCAAGCTTGAAAAAATGTCAAAATGCCACAAAACGCTAATACAAAAACGCTGAAAAACTCAAGTTTTTAACATGACTTTACACAGCTAATGTTACCAGGGATATTAAAAAGCCCAGTGTGCATGGAGCCTTATTGTTTACCAAAATGGCAGAAGTGGAATTAAACCCTCCTTGTCTTTTACTGACAAAGGAATTGCCATCTGCAGTTGCCATGGTGCTGAATATGTGATCAGTTTTGAAACCAGTCATTTTGTTGGTTTGACCGTTTGGTTAAAAGTGCAAACAATTGTGACCGCTTTTATTCATGGAATACATTGAATGTAACTATTCTGAGCAATGGTAAAATCACTGGGTTTAGTGCCGCTTCAACATTCAAGGCATGCCTCTGGTGATAACTATCATAGTTGCCATTGTGTTTGTCAGCTCTCAACCAAACTTTCACACCCTCACAGGTTCTTGGTGAACTGGCTGAAATTCACTCAGTGGGTGGCCCTGTTGGTCACCTCCCACCTTGACATCCTTTGACTGAAAATTTGTAAGCTCCAGCAGGACCGCCTTTAATATTGATTTAACCTTGGCCAAACTTTTTCTTGGGCCCCTGGCACCTCCACCCCACATGCAATTTTGCTCTCCACCTCATCTGAGGCATACAGTAAAAAGCAGTTAGACTTGTTTACTGCAGCAGATCAGGCTGTGATTGGTTGCCAGAGTTTACAGCATATCATTTCTGATCACTGACTAGTTGCTAAAGATTACAGCACACATTATGGCTCACTAATTAGTTGTTGGAGGTTACGGCACATCCTTACCGCTCGCTGATTCGTTACTAGATTTTACTGCACATCCTTACTGCTTGTTGATTGGTTGCAGGCCACAGCATTCCCCTTTATATCAGCATTCCCACTTACAGCAGGGTCTGCTTGCCTGGCTGCAGGAAAATCCAGAACAAGCATGCAGCCATTGAAGTCAGGACACTGAATCAGCATGCTTGGTCTCAGGTTGACTTGGCTTGGTAGCCAGGCAGCTGACATTTTCAGTAGCAGCCCCTCATATTAGGTCAGTGAGACCAAGCTATAGTACCTGTGGGGAGGGCCTGCTGCTGGTCTCAGACCCCAAAAATAGTCACTTAATAAAGTTGGATTACAGTCAATTCTTCCAACATACACAGATGTATGTTCTACCGATTAGAAGTGATCAACAGAATTTTGCCACAGTCCATCTCTTTTGCAGGGTCTAACTTTTTTTTTTTTTTCATTTTGATTACTTTACTCGGATTGAATGATCAATTGTATAATCACATCAGTACGTTTTTGGTTATAACTGAACTCCAAGCAAACCACTAAATACACAGATGAAATGATACTCTTTATATTATACCTGGCTTACCTCATGAAAAGATTTGTATTATTGTTTATACAGTACTGTGATTTTTACACAGATCTGTCTGGAAGGGGAGGGGGCCTGAACTCTTTTATAGTTTTACTTAAGCTAACATGTTTCCTACACCTTGAGACTGAACAGTGAAAGCAGAAGCAGCACACTGATAAACTCATCTCACTCTCACTTTGTTCTCTTCTCCATTTCGCTATCACTTTGCTGTCTGCACCTATCAGTATTCCGTTATCTTTTTAGTAAAAAAAAAATCCAAATTAGTTTATAACCCAATAAAATTATAATTTTTAAACATTTTTTTTTTTAAATTTTTATTATTTTTTAATTTTTTTTTTACATACTGTCACTCTAGCAGTACAGTGTCACCATGGTGACACTGTACTACTTTGGGGGGTGATGAAGATTTTTTTTTTTTTCTTACACTGATTGCTTTTTCACCCATATAGGATGTAAAAGCAATCATTTCTCTTTCTCTCTGTCTGCATTCTTGCACTCATTGAGAAGTACTGAGTGAGCTGTGATTGGTCACAGCTTGTCACATGGTACAAGGATGTTGTGAATAGCCTTGTACCATGTGACCTCTGTGATCATTCACAGATTTCACACGTAGTAAGCAATGATGTCACAAGTGACATCTTGCTTACTACTTTGCATGTGATCACTGATTGGCCAATCAGTGATCACATGATCGGGACCTCGTACAGAGGTCCCGTACGACGATCGGTGTTTCACTGTGTCGGGAGGACACAGCGGGCACCGGATCGCGGTGCTGCGCGCTCCCAGGGAGCGCGCACAAGCAGGGTGCGGGGAGGCCGTTTATAAACGGCCACCCGACCCTGCACTACCACCGTCCGGCCGTTTATATGCAACGGCCGGTCGGGAAGTGGTTAAAGTCCTCCAAGCAGCTAATTAGACACTGGATCACTTTTACAGGCAGCAGGAGGGGTCGCAAAACCCACCAATTTATTCTCTAGGTCCTCTGTTTACATTTAAAAATTAAATGCAAACATTTAATTTTTTATTTTTAGCAAAGTTTCAGAAAAGGCTGGGTCCAACTATCTCTCCATGGTTTCACGCATGGTGTAAAAATATAAAAAGGCTTTGGCTGCAGTACTTACCTCCACTCTGTCATAGTCCACCACTCTGTTTTTTGTTGGACAGAAAGGGAGTCTGGAGTTGGGCTTTAACTTGCATTAACTCTTTAAAAAAAAAAGTAAAAAAAAAAAAGTAATTTTGTAGGCTTTCATTTGGTTGCCATTTAATAAATGCACTGCATTGCTTTTTTTTTTTATTTTAGGTTGATAAATGGGGGAAAAAATGTTCAACAAAGGTTGTATTTTTACAAATGTAACTTTTTTAATACTGTTATTGTATTTGACAGGCTCAGTATAAAACAGCAATACATTGTCATTATAAGGCTGCAAGTATATTTTTAGAAAGAAAAGGTTTGCTGTGTGAGAATCTCCAGCTTTCATGTAATTACATGCTGAATTATATGGATTGCATACTTTGGTTCAGCTTGGCACAATACAAGTATGCAGATCTTATTCTTGAATGACCATTCAGGAAACTGGAAAACACAGTAGTAATTGGCACTACTATAGTGATGACCACGATCTTCCAGGCCTTTCAGGTTCTGTTTGAATGGCTTCCCCTCTACACAATGACAACAAGGTGGAGGGTTGTTCCCTCAACATGTCTTTCGTAGAGCCCCTGGTATTTTGAAAACAACGTGTATTCTCTGATTGGATGAGATGGAGAGGAGATGCAGTGTTGACATGATATCCATTCAGTTTGAAAATGCCTTGTATTCACTGAAAGAAATTCAATGCAATGTGTGAATGGGGGCCATGCTGAGTGAGCATCCCCCTGTGGTCAGTGTGCAGAGGGGAACCACTCTGCAGGGTCTTGGGAGATCACGGCTATCACTGTAGTAGCACTGACTACTACGGTGACTTACAGCATCTCTATTGGTTCCTCAGGTTTAAGATATGCATATTTCCATTGTGTCAGTTTAGACCAATTTAAGTACACAAGCCAAATAGTTATTGGAGTTCAGCTTTAAATAGCACTGGACCTGTCAGAAACAGAGCACTCCTCTGCATGCTCCCAGCTGTCAAATAGGGAAATGAAAATGGGGTTGTAGATTGATATTCCCATGGTACAAGAATTTGTATCTGGGAACTTTATTACAGATTTGTGATGCCTAGCAGTTACCGGTAATTGTGTTCCCCACGCTCTAGATGTAATCAAATTCATTTCAATCAAAAATACATTATTTTTTGTGCAGTTAGGACCAGATAACTGAGCATCAGCAATTTACTGCAGGCCACAAAGGCTTGTGGTGAAAGGGTTAACACACTAAATTGTCTGATTAAAATCTGCTACTGGTTGTTTTTGAGGTTCCACAGGAGATTGCTTGGGTGTTTTTGTAATAATATGAGATACTTTATATTTTGCAGAGGTTTAGAGGAAATTATAAAAACTGCTAGAGTTTCAGATGATTGATTGCAGATACATTTAGCAAAGCAGTTACATTTTAGTGTTGCACAAGAGTTTGTGATTATTTTAAGGCTCATCTTGGGGCAAACCTCAATAAATACATCTATTACTACCTTGCTGAATTACCAGGTATTATTTCAATGAAAGCTGCGGATTTAAAAACTAAAAATGAGTTTTGAATTCATACTAATATGTTAAAGTTTTTATGAGATTTTAAAGATATTTAATTTTATTTAGATTTTTTTTAAGGCCCACTACACCAAAAACTAATAGGTTGATGTTTATGTAGCTAGTGGTAGTTTATGTGAAGATCTTTAACATATTGGTCTGTTTATTTAAAATGTTAATTCTTTAGTATAATATATATATATATATATATATATATATATATATATATATATATATATATATATATATATATATATATATATATATATAAAATTTTGGACACGGGCACAATTTTATTTTTTTGAAGGTATTTACCAAAACGTATTCAAGCTATAGTTATATAATGGATATGGGCTGAAAGTGCGCACTCTCAGGTTTAATTTGAGGGTATGTACAACCTAATTGGAGGAAGGATTTAGGAATTACAGCTCTTAAGAGTAGCCATCCCCCTTTTCAAGGGACCAAAAGTAATTGGACAATTGAATCAAAAGTTATTTCATGGCCGGGTGTGGGCTACTCCTTCCTTATTTCTTCATCAATTAAGCAGGTAGAAGGTCTATAGTTGATTCTAAGTGTGGTATTTGCATTTGGAATCTATTGCTGTGAACTTACATCATGCGTACAAAGGAGCTGTCCATGCAAGTGAAAGAGGCCATTGTAAGGCTTCAAAAACAAAACAAATCCATCAGAGAGATAGCAGCAACATTAGGAGTGGTCAAATCAACAGTTTGGTACATTCTGAGGAAAGAAGAGCATACTCCTTTTCTTTGCAGGGTTGGATAGAACAACTTTAGAATGGGGGTGGGAGTAAGTTTAAGCCAGTAATAGATGGTTCGTATCTTGGCTGGTTCAGCAGGGACTGGCTGAGATCTGAACCATTTATATGCAGGCTGATTGTATGCAAGCTGATCCATCAACTTGGTTACAACTATCATAATGGATTTTTACATGTGATTTATTGCCAGTAGCTATAGTCGCTAGTAATAATCACTGTGTTCTCCTGGCAGGGGCTCACCCCCCCATTCCCCAAGGGAACACAATAGCTCTGTGGGATGGATCCCCCCCATCAACACTTACTGTGTTGATGGGGGAATCTAGCTTTTTTTTTTTTTTTTTTTCTTTTCTATTTTTTTCTTTATTTCTTTCTTGCAACCCATGGTTGCAGGAAAGAAAATCCCATCTTCTGTGGCCTGCCTTTTAGCTTTAGTTAGGTTTTGACTGAGCTTCCACTTCAAGGTAAATGTTTGTAGGTAGATGCACAGTGGGTTACATTCTTTCATGAATAGCACCTTTGATAACAAAAAGGGAAACAATTCAAGACAGTTGAAATTATTAGTGGGGGAACTTAAAGTGGGGAACTTGGTGGGCATCAGTTGTGATTGACTGGGGGTGGCAACAAAAGGGAAAGGGGGAGAGGGAAATAAGTAAAACAATTAATAAAGAAAAAGGGTCGTTGGTATTGGGTTCCGGCTCATTTGGCCCAGGCAAACCCTGCCTGCAGTGATCGATGCTTTCGGGGTTGTGGTCATCGTGGTGATGTATTGCATATCTGGTGGTCATGCCCAAGACTGATTGGTTTTTGGTCTCGTGTGTGGCCTCCTTTGCACCTTGTTCCATCTCCCTATACGCTGGGATGCTTGGTGCGCTTTGCTTCATTGCCCCATACCAGACCTCTTGGCTCACCAGCAGAAGTTGGCTTCCTATTTGTTTTTGTCGGCCACTAGAACAATTGCTCAGGCATGGAAGCGCCCGTTTGTCCCTCTTCAGGGGGTGTGGGACCATGTGACCACTATGATGCTTAATGAATAGATGGTCGAGTATCTGTAATGACTCCCAACGGTAATGTTTGAGAATATGGGAGCCGTGGTTGCAATATGGCCTTCTCACACTCCCCCCAGCTAGTCTGGGCTTGTGATGTTGCTCGGTATTGGCGTTCCCGGACCCCTGCTCATGGTCTTGTCATCTTTTTCCTTTTGTACTCCTCCTTCCTTTTCTATTTGTATTTGTTTTTTTTGGTGTAGCGGTGGATAGCTGCCTTTGGTTTGAGTTGCTGTCAGTGTTATACCAATGGTTTTTGTCATTTATGTGCCATTGATCGCCCCTGCATGGGTGCACCTTTTGCCCTGTTGGTGTTGGAGCACTGTTTTCTTTCTTTCTTTTTTTTTTTATGTGCAATTGATGGCCCCTGTGTGGGTGTGTCTTGTTGCTCCTGTGTTTTTAAATGTTTATAAATTAATAAAAATCATTGAAATACAATAAAAAAAAAGGGGGGAAATGAGGGTGCCTGGTTGTTCCCCTGAGGCACCAGAGTGATGTGAATCCTCACAAGAGGCTTGCCTGTTTCCAAGTTAGTAATGAGTCAAGGAGGCAATATGGAAGGTAGTGGGGTAGCTAACACTCAATCCATGGACCCGATTGTCTTTTGAAATTTTGATATAGTATCATTCTATATAGCAGTAGGTTTTAAAAGAAACATTTGTGATAATTGTGTTTTTTACCTCAACAAATGAGATTGATGGGGTCTTTTTATGCCCGAGCAATTGACCATTTGGCTGATGTAATTGTGTGAGTAACCAGTATGAATTTTTTTAGTTTTGAGGACTTCATAAAGGTCTTTGTGAAAGGAAGCACTCAAACATAGGCAGGCGCTGGTAAATTCGTGACCACAACCTCTTACCTGTCAGCCATTTCCACCAAGAATGAAAGAATGGTCATTTGTTGAGCAGCCTCTAATAAGTTGATGAGTAGTTTAGGATAAAAGGAGTAACGGGCAGCACAGTGGTTTAGTGGTTAGCACTTTCGCCTGGCAGTACTAGGGTCGTTTGTTTGAATCCCAGCCATGCCACCACCTGCCTGGAGTTTGCATGTTCTCCCTGTCCCTGCGTGGGTTTCCTCCGGGTACTCCGGTTTCCTCCCACACTCCAAACAC